ATGGTGGCATTTATGAACCAAATTGAGTAGTCTGATGAATCGGTAATTCGGTATCCGTTTATGGTTTTTACATTTATAACTTAGTACTAGATTTTACTGTTTTTGGACAGATGTCATTATCATACATAATATTGTTGAAATATTTATATATTTGGGAACTAACTTTCACGTAGCAATTATGTTCAAAAGGTTGGAAGCGGTTCTGCTTGGTGAAATTAAGAATATTCATTTAAAAAATCACAGTCCGGAATTGGGAGTCTGAAATCAAAAGACCTTGGTGTAGCATATTATACTTTATATTGTTGACATATTTATGTATGCATCAGTGTATTCTAAAGCAGAAAATGTGTCTGGCAAGTATGAAGCGATTCTGTACAACAGAATGAAGAATATCATATTATAGAAAACCAAGAGAGTCTGGCGTCGGGAGTGCTAGATTTCCCGCTTGTCATATAATATAATAGCTGCAGAACTGTTGCTCTCTGGTTGAGAAAATTCGGACAGACAAACCAATTAGCTACAGATCCAAGCATTGTATAAACCATTGATTTATGCTTCTGTTTTTTGTGGGTTCATTTATTTCAGGTATTATTTCTTGTATTATACACTCTTATATATGTTCCCCCAACCAAAAGCAAGGTATCTTAATTAACCATATATTTACTCATTATCTTGTAGGGATGCACAATTTTATCAGTATACCAGTATATCATGATTTTTTATTGCCTGATACATATCATAAAATAGAGACTAAAATACTGGTATTAAGTACAGAATTATAATTACTATATTAATTACTTTTGTTGTTCAAACATATGAATTACCAAAAGTGTAAAAAAAAATATTGTAAAACAGTAAAACAAGGGCATCCTAGCATCCATACATGCCTTATCAATATATATAAATAAAAATGTAAATATTTATAAGAAAAAATATGGGAATTCATTAAAAATCATACTAAAAAATGTGCAAAAAATATCATGAAATTATTGTGATATTTCTTGAAAAAATTGTAATATATTGTGATACAAATCTTTTGGCAATACATGTACTCATCTCTATTTTTTACCTTTTAAGGGTTCCAACTAGCCTAGATGGCCTTATAATGTAGTTTTAAAATTTTGCATTTTGACATCCATGTTGGGGTATAAAACTGTATTGGTAAAATTTGTTTATAAAAGTACATACACATATAAACGTGGTGTTTTTTTTTTACCATGACCTCAAATGGACGTTGGAATGCGAATTTTTGAAACTGACATTCCAAGCCATATAGGGGTGCTTGGAACCATTGAAACTTAAAAAAAGTAACAAGATTATGAGTAAAATATATGGTTAATTAACTTGCTTTTGGCTGGGGAAAGCAACAAAAAGGAAAGTTTTTACAATGCTGAATCTGTAGCTCTCTAGTTTTTCCATCCAAATTTTCTCAACCAGAGAGCTACAGTTCTGCAGCTATATAGTATGGTAGACTTGGGCCCCATTTTACAAAATAACTTACAACTAAGACTAAGACCAAAATGTTATTTTTCCAAATACAGTCAAACCTCATCATCTCGAACTCGAAGGAATAGTAAGGAATAAGCAGTCGGTACTTCAAAATGACTTCGACATATGCATGGTGTTCGAGATAATTATCCGTGTTTGAGATACCGAAGTTCAACTGTTAATTTCTATTTTACATTAATTTGAAAATGGTTTTAACCTTATAAGAAAAAATAAGAACTCTAAGTCTCACGCATCACACCTTACATGATAAATTTCCGTAGACTGAAAAATAGTGTCATACATGTTTAATTCAAGTTGTATGCATCCAATGTTGCAAAAACTTCTTTTGAAATGATGAAACTTATAAGTGAAATGATATTTTCTTAGAAAACAAGTCAATATTTAAAATTTATTGCGTAAAATATGGTAGAATCACTTATGGGACAAACTATACTAGCAGAGCTGCCCCCCTCCCCGTTTTTACGATTTTGGTGTAAGACCTTAAGATTAAGGGTCTAATATACACCTTAGGATTTCTCTATTAATTTTTCTGATTTTCATTTTTCTCAGTCAGAAGTTTGAAATACCAGAATTTTCATAGCTGTACACCTTCAGTTTTTACTATTAAAATAAAAGTACATTGCTCTTTTGTATTATCATTGTCTGTTTTTATGCAAACTTGCAAATTAAACCATTTTAAAGGAAACAAAGAGGAAAAATCCATTCACAAAAAATCTCCAGCTGTCTCTTTATGATGTTGGCAGCTCTCTACTAGGGTTTGAATCAAGGAATGATGGCTTCACAAAACTGAGGAATTAAGGTCATTAATAAAACTAAAGACCAAATTCCTGTAAAATACAAGGAATAAAAGTATTCCAGGAATTTTTTACTGATCAAAATGGCAGAAATATTTTGCTAAATATTCATCACAGGTGTGTGAGTTTACCTAAATGGACCCAAATGAATCAGATGGATCCAAAATAGAGACCCAAATAAAAAACATTGCAATACACATTTTCCTTTAGTTTAAGAAAATAACTTACATAAAATGCAAACATTCTGTTGTAGAAGTGATGGTACCTTTGTTGTCAACGACTTACCATCTGGAACATATGTTGTAGAGGTGTCACATCCAGATTATATTTTTGAATCAGCTAGAGTTGACATTACAGCAAGGGGAAAGATGAGGGCTAGAAGAGTCAACTATTTACAACCTTCCTTAGTTAAAACAATGTCATATCCACTGGACTTTAAAGACCGACAGAAGGCTAAATATTTTCAAACACGAGAACAGTGGAGAATCACAGACTTTTTAATGAATCCTATGGTAGGTTAAATAATTTTACTTGTGCTATATGCATTATCTTTAATCACTAGGTAATACAAGTTCCTTCACAAGGAATTTTACAAAGCTAATTTTTTTTTAGCTCTAGTGGTCAGAGAAGAGCTTATGCGATAGTAAGGTGTCTGACATCCGTCTGTCTGTCCATCTGTAAACAATTTTTCAAAACGCTACACATGTACTCCTCCTGCAGTTTAGATCTGATTTTTATATAACTTGGCACACAAGTAGACTACACTAAGATGCATAATTCTGTGTATCGGTTTTTGATTTCGATGAACAGTGTTGCCATGGTTACTAAAAATAGAGATTTCTGGGAATATTTCAAAATGCTTCTCCTCCTGCAGTTTTGATCTGATTTTAATATAACTTGGCACACAATAAACTAGATTAAGATACATAATTGTCTTATTGTTTTTTGATTTTGTGGAATAATGTTGCCATGGTTACTAAAATCGAAATTTCTGTAAAATTCTTTTAAAAGGCTACTCCTCCTACAGTTTTAGTCTGATTGCAATAAATTTTGCCACAAAAAGAGACTAAACCAAGGATTATTATTCTATTTATTGCTAAGTTTCAAGTCCAAGTGCTACTTTTATCTTCCTTTGTCGTAAGTACAAACCAGTAGAGCTATAGTCTCATCAGAGACTTCTGGTTTACAATCATTTTATATTTGAATTACTATATCACTGAAGCAGTCAAGTAAATTTTTAGTTTTGAAGCTTCCACTAGCAAGATAATGTTATAAATCTGCAGTATGCACTCTGAAAAATATCTTGATGTCTTCAACTTGTCATACAATATCATAAATGCACCTTTTTCTATTTTCAGGTCCTAACAATGGTTTTACCTTTGCTCCTGATAATGGTTTTGCCCAAATTAATGAATGCTGCAGACCCAGAAGCACAGAAGGTAACAATAAAGTTATAAAAATTTTGAATATCACAGTTGTAAACAGTAGAATATGTTTGGAAAATGGGGGGGGGGGGATATTTTTTCATTAGAAGTATAGTGCAGATGAAAAGATTGAATGAGATGTTTCTGATAGTGGCATTCTAGAATTTTTATATGATAAAAAAAAATGTTGCTTGTGTTAAAGACACAATTAGTAAATAATGAAGTATCTATAAAAATAAGTTATGCAATCATCTTCTTATGGACTTAGCTACAAACACCTCATGCTTATTACCGAGACACTTTCTGCATGCAGGCCCCGGATGCTTAAATCATATACTCAAAAGATTATGCTTTGATGCTCAAAAATTGAACTTTAAATGGTTGATTAATTTTTAGGAGATGCAGTCACAGATGAAGGCCTTCAATGACAAATCAACAGTGCCTGACATATCAGAAATGCTGGCTAGCTGGTTCCCAAGTACTGATAACAAGAAATCAAAACATAACAAACTCAAAAAGAAGTAGACTCTGGGAAAGTGTTTATAAGGATGTTTGTATTTTATGTGGTCAGAGAGAATGTAGAAAATGTGAAGTTACAAAGTGTGTATAGAATGTGTTGCATTAAATTTGATTTTATTTCAAAAAGAGATGAAGTGTATTTTGATTCATGGATATATATAGATGGAAATGTTGACACTTATTCTAACAGTCATTAAAATGAAAAGTATTCATTGTCTTTATCCCCATGTTTTCATATTTGTTGAAGATAAATGTTGTACCCTAAATTCCTGGTTTATTACCGTTTTTAGAGACACTTTAGTAGGTAGAGTAGACTTATGTTTAAAAAAAATCATTTCATGTCCATCAGCATCATATGCTCAAATAAGCACATATGAAGAATATCTATATTCCTGCTTTCCAGAGCACAGAAAGAAATATGTACATGTAGAACTCCAATATATTTATTTTATACTTATAATGTAAACAAATCATTACATAATTATTTTTTAGTAAGTACTGCAGGGTCATATATTGTTGGTACATGTATAAAGCAGGCGGATATACATGAACTAGAATTATTTATAAATATTTTCATTTAGTGTTACAAATGATCTCAAATCTACAGATATTGTACATGCTTGAAATGTTGGTCTTTTTATTGCTTAAGGAAAAATCAGTTTTATTGCGTAGGGAAAAAAAAGCATAAACATGTTCGCAAATAAGCGTTTAAAATTTTACATAGCACTTACATTAAAAATAAACTACAAGCATTTGTAGTGTAAGTTACATGCAATAAATATTCACTATTTTACAATATTTACATTTTGCCCTTTATCATAATAAAATTGTGAATTTTTGTCTTCTGTCATACTACCAGTGACATTTGATATTTGAATGAATGCACAATAATATCAGCTACACCGTTTTTATCACAGTGGGCTAGTTTTTATGTGTCAGCACTTAAATATTTGGACCTCCTAACCGAAAGTACGAAATGGGAGGTGATGGGTTTGCAGGGTTAGTACAGGAAGTCCAGGTTATTTCCGGGTATCCTGGTTTTCTTTTGACTCTTTCGTACTGTTATATCTTCTTTATCCCCCTCTCCGTCAGTCGTGTCCATGATTTCAGTGAACAAGTCCAGTGTTTCTTCGCTGGATAGCATAGTTTCCCGCGGATTGACATATGTATATCCCCCATTTCCGGTTTCTCGCGTCTGCGCTCTCTCCATCACGGTCTCGTACAGACGTCTACGCTGCTCGTTAGCGAAGAAGTCAATCTCTATGACGCGGGTGACGATAGCTTGGTTCTTTCGCCACACATTGAATTCTATATCTATCGGGGTGATTCGCTCAGCTGTCACAGTCACTGTGATAAAAGCTTTCCCATTCTTTAACATTAGATCTACATTTTCTGCAACTGAGTCAAAGTTGGAGGTTCCGTTTTGCCCGGCGCGGCTGCCGTCGGCGTGAATTAGGCTAATATCGCCGTAGATGTCCTCGTGATGATGTTTAACGTCGATGTGCTGGCGTATATCTTTGGAGTCAATGGTAGCAAGTTTGGACAGTAACAGTTCACTCAAGTTCTTCTTGGGGCGAGGCTGTCTTTTGACTGAAAAAAGTTAATTTGCATTACAGTTTGTGGTGAAATGTTATTAAAAGCCTGGAGACAAAGATAACTAGAAAAAAGATTTAATCTGCTTCGGCCTCACGATTTTATATATATATTAGGCATCAGATATAATCAAATATTTGGTTTGAGGGAGAATGCACGACTCATTTTGCTACTTTTGTAATTTTTTGTGCAGTTTAATCATTGATAAGCCTATCTATACTAGGTGACGATACACATATCCATACCCCTAAGCACAGGCGGCCTGGCCAGATGACTTATCGCGCGAGATCAAAGCACAGCCTCTGAGCAGGTATTTAAGACAGGTACAAAACTGCTGACAAATTCGCCCAAGGTATGGATGCATAGCCTACTCATATAACTGTATTTATATACATTACTGTGTAACTATATAATTTTGTAATTTTATGCCAAATGACATTCAAGCACGAAAAACCTGTTCATTTTGTAAATGTATGTAGGAGGGTTGCATTTTTTATCAAGGATTACATTTGTCACTTTATATGTAAACATCTCCACCTAATGAACAATAGCTTTTCTATCGCTGCACGAGGCGTTCGAATAAGATTAATTTACTGAAGTCGAAAAACTCATCAATTACCATAAAATACTTCCAGAGTGAAGTACAACGCAGATATATGCGATGCGATATTTGAAATACATGTAAATGTAAATCTGTACAAAACTTTTTTTTTACAGAAAGACTAGACATTTTTTGTATTTATACATTTGTTTTCATGTATCTGAGGGCTAGGGTTGGTACAAAAATACTTGTCAAACGCACGAGGACACGGTGAAGTATGGTCGTCCAACTGCGGCTAAATTAGGGTCATGACCTTCAAAGTAATCATGTTGTCCAAATGACCTCGTAAGTTAATGTTCACCTGTGCCTATCAGAGCGGATGGAACAAATAACTGTCAATTAATTAATCTAAGCATAATATGTTTTTCTAGGCTTTGTGATTCTGACGTCTTAATTTTAAAATTAATTGAATTGCCAAGAAATTAAATTGTCAGTTTCAATTAACACAAACATGTATGACTAAAGGAATGGTTATGACATCAAGGAATTTCACACATTAAGTCATTTTAATACTTTTATTGGATAAATATCTCATCCTTAGACATTCCTAAATCCGTATTTACTGCATACACTCCAGAATTTCATTGAAATATTTCACTCTGGTATATTTTGGTTTTATGACATACTTGACCCATAAATCTTTTATAAAATGGCATTTATCCCGTGATTATTGATCTGTCAGTCTCCCCAGCTTTTCTGTTTTTAAAAGGATGTTAAGCTAAAGTACTATACCCTTCCCTCATTCTTCACATATACATGTACATATATGTTATATTAAAAGATTTGAATTTTAATATCAACTTTAATATCTATAGCTAGATAAGTTTATATTGAAATTTGAACTTATAAGGGCTTTTTTATATATAAGCTTTTTTTTATATAGGTTTTTTTTTATCTTCGTTGTGTAAATATGAACAGTCTCATCATTTATTTCATTCAGAGTTTCATTCCTGCCAAATATTATTGGGTAGAAAAACAGCACGTCCGTATCATCTTTGTGTAGGAAACTTATAGTCTCACTGTTTCTAATCTTAAAATTTGATTAAAATAGTAGTCCATAATTTGAAAAGAAAGTGATTGAGGAACGCCTCAAAATCTAATATACGTATATACTTTAAAGAACCACAAATCATAGTGTCATGGAATGCCGACATGTTTATCTATACTAGCAAACTAAAATTGGTTTATATTTTGTATTAGGGGTAATAAAAGTAGAAGTTTATTCTGACCTTCTTTACATTTGGTGAAGCGGTCTACGGTTTCAAAGGTGATGTCGTTATTAAGACTGTCTTGAAAGCGCTGGTTGTGCGCTCGCTCTTGCTCTCTCTCCCTTTCAAAGCGCTTATAAATATCCTCATCACTATGATAAACTGGGTTCTCCTTCGTCATGTTAAAGGCTTGGTCAAACAGGTTAATATTATCATTATACTCGTCTAGATCCTGGTCCAGATTATTCTTAATCAAAATATTCCCTCTAACGACGTGAATGTCTCTCTCTTCCCCAGTATGATTTTGGTATATATCATGATGACCTTGATAAACATCATGGAGACGCTGGGGAGCACTTTGATGTCCTTGATAAGTCTCATGATGACGCTGATAAGCATCATGGTGACGCGGAAAAGCATCATGATGACGATCAAAATCGTTCTTCACTTGATATTTTGTGGAGAATGTCTGTCTTGATTCGTTAGAAATAGGTACAGGGCGACTCTCTGTCGTAACGTTAAATTTGCTCTTAAAATGTCTGTCAGCAATTGGCGATGGTGCCGAACCGTTTATCTGGAACACTTTCTCGGTTTTGAATTTGTGCGGAGCTTGAGTTTCAATAGAAGATCTGTTATGAAATCCATCTTCTGTAACACCACCAGACGACATTTTCATTGTGTAATATTCCTTAGTAGTCACTTCCTCAACAGTTTCTTCATGTCTGTCTTCAGTCGCTCTGCTATTTAAAACCACACATTTCTTATCCTCTATTTCTGCAGGTATGAATTCTCGGCGTTGTTTCTGCCATTTTGGTGCCTCATACGGACCTTTAACAAGAGCAACTGACTTGTAGATTGGGCGTTCTACATCCTTTGGTCTGACTTCTACTTTTTCTGTTCTTTCTTCCCTGGTTTCTTCAATTTTAGGGGGAGAAGGCGTGACGTCTACTACAGCCATGTGACAGACCGGGACAGGTGGTTGCGGTACAATAGGTGGCGGCATTATCACGGGTGGAGGAAGCACCGGTGGGTACATCAAGGCACTCGCCTCCATCATGTAAGAGGAATTTGAATTGCTGATACCAGTGTTATCTGCATGGGACTGTGAAGTCTGCATAGCCTCGCTCCTCCTGTAACCCTCTTGGTCACCTTCTTCTTTTTCCATTTCATAGGAATGCCGCACTGTCTTGACCGATGATGAACCAATGGTCTGAGGTATGGGGCGATGTACCTTGTCGGTTTCATCGTAACTAGTCAGTTGTTTGTTGTAGGAGGTATCAGAAGACATAGTACCACACTGACCACCAGGTCTATAGTGTTCTCGGAGATAATGACCTTCTCCGGTGCGTTCGTCTATTTCTTGGATTTGCATATACCCACCAGGATTGTACAGACCAAGCAATACCTCCTCTGCAGTGTCGTGATCAATGCCTGATCTCCCAACAGCCTGTAGATTGTAGATGCCTTGGAAATTCTGACCACTATATCCAAACCCGTCTGAAGTATTGTGAGATTCTGAGGAGGTACTGAAGTAAGCACTCTCTTGAGATTCATCCGTAATATCTTCCACCATGTAATAGTTTCCTTTGTGGTCTTGTACGATATATCGTCTGTCGTCTTCTTCAGTTTGTGGAGGATGGGTGACCTTCTTTTCGTCATCTTCTTCTTCCACAATCTTGTGCGTTAATGTTGTAATCACTAAATTTCCGCCCGGTAACTTGGTCACTGTCTGATTTATTTCCGGTAAGAGCTCATCGTTATTTTCCCCATTCAGCTTAGAAATGGTTTCGGCCAGATGTTTTAAATGCGTATTGGACTCTATATCCAAATTTTCCTCCGCTCTGTCACCCCCTCTTCCTGAGCGTAATGTTGTTGTCTTAGTGCGGACCTTCCTGCCTCCCGTGTAGCTGGAACTATCCGATCCGGACGAAGTGTATCCGGAATACCTGTCCGGCATCGACCGGGCGATGCCGGACAATTCTTTTAAGGACACTATTTTGTCGGTTTTAAATGATCCTGGCAAAGCATAAAATTCGGGAACACTTGAGCTTTGCTGCTCTCCGCTTGGATGTGTACTGCCTTCTGATACCTGGTGGTAAGGTGTAGCGTATGTAGATACGTTAGCTGTCACTCCTGAGACGCGTTGAGTGCCCCGAGCCAGATACGCCTCGCTGCGCTCTTTTTCTAAAGGATTACACTTGACAAATGGCAATGTTTTACTTTCATAAACTTTGTTTTCTGCATTTTCACATTCCTGTTGTATCACCTTTGCTCTATCATTTCCATCATCTTGGTTAACTTGGTGGTCATGACAAATGATGCGAACATGGTTTCCATGAAGCCCAGTGTCATTCACTATGTTAGTGGTAAGGTTTGTGCTGTCACAGGAAACTTTCTCACAATTTTCATTAATTTGAGGAGCAGTATTTACACATTCAGCATATTTACGAGATTCCTCTTTAGTTTGAGGGGATACTGTTTCAACACTCGCTAATTTAGTTATGGAAAGACTTGTACTGTTAGTTTGGAAAGTACATTCTCCAGACACACTTGAATCGTTCAAACTATTATTATTTTTCATATGGCCCTCCATGGACCCAGGGCCATTATAATCCAGTAAATCACGATGATTTTCGTTAGATGGCGATGAGCTGTAGACAACAGCGTCGGTTGAGGCAGTGCTTTTTTGTACATCTCTTAGATCTACAGTAGCAATTTCTTCCTTATGACTGACTGTTCCCTGCGGTTGTTTACTATTATTATCTCCCTCTAAGTTGATCACACTTTTGTACCCACCCTCCATATCTGCGTGACTTTTAGTCTGTTTGTCACCAAAACTGACATCATTTTGGCAAGAGTTCACTGCAGAAATTAAATATTCTCCGTTTGAATGAACATTGTCATCGCTACTGCTATCACTTTCAACATCATCTTCAAGCGAATCCAGGAGTTTTGAGTTTTCCTTCAGATTTCGACTGAGCAATGCGTTATTCCTTTCCACGGCTTTCTGTAAATCTAATATTCCGTCCTCTACACTGCCCGCTGTGTGGCACGGACTGGCCTCTCTGGATCCACCCGAGGGAATCTCGGGTGAACCATATTTGTTTTCCTCCTGAGAGTCATTCAAATCACTTTCCTCTGACGACTCGGAGTCTGTTTCCTGTCTATTCTCATTCAATTTAGGCCTAGAAGTTTGAGATTGACCTCTCCGAAGGTCAGGCACTGGACTGTGATGTAATGCAAAAACCTTTTCAGAACTTATTTCGCTTTTCCCGTCCAATATTTCATTCACCGATGGTGCGTAAATTTCTTGAACATTGTCCAAGCAGGTGTGAGATTCTGTAATTTCAGTTTCTGGTATATCTGAGTCCCTTTTTCCTGTCTGATATATATTGCACACGGCAAACTTATCAACAAAACCCCCAGTATTGCCATCGGAGATACTGGCAATACTCTTTAAGCTTGAAGGAGTTTTTGAAGCTTGAGTTTCATCCTGAATAAAGTTTACATCTTCTTTGGAATTTCTTTTATTTTTAACTATTTCATTTTCACAAACACATTGATGCACACCTACAGTTTTTTCATTATCCGAATTTATCGACCGAGACACTTCCTTTAATTCAACTGAAGTTGTTTGTAAAGCCTTGTTTCCAAGGCCAATATCGTCAGTTGCACTCGAAGAAATACAACTGTTTACAAAATTTGACTCACCATCTTTATACCTCTTATTGTCACCCAGCTGAGATTTTGTTTTCCCCGTTGGGTTTGTGTAATACTCTTGATTTTGACCTGAAAATGCAAAATGTAGAACATCCTCTGAATCTGAAGACTGTGAATGCACATTTGTATTCTTCTGTAAAATACATGTATCATCTGTCTCAATCTCATGTTCGCTATCATTGTTTGGTGATTTAGAATTTCTCTCCTGACCGACAATCTCCAGAGCATGGTCACCCGTTTTATTGAGCTCTCCTATACATGTATTATTTCGATTTTCCCCATCTTTCGAGTTACGTAAAAATGGTTTTCGTTTTCTCCTTTTATTTTCTCTTTTGATTCGTCTCGCTTTGTTTGAAAATATCGTTGTAATATTTTGTACTGTACCCGGTTTTATTTTACTTCTCACAGTTTTAACACTTCCTTCTAGTTTTGAAATCTCAAATGGCAGCAGACAAACTGTGTTTTGTTGTGACGTTTCCTCTGTTACTACGTAATGATTACAAGAATCTGATTCCTCAGAGCTGTCATAAGACGAAGTGTCAGTGGAATCAGACTGGGAGTCATAAGATTCTCTGTTATCATTAGCTGTTGTTTGTGTTAGAAAAGTATTATTTTCACTAGAATTCAATGTAGACGTGGCATCCGGTGAAAATGGACGCATTAAGACTTCAGGGGGATGAGATGTTGGTAAAGGAGGAACATCTAATTCGTCGTCGGATTGTTCGCCAAGAGCATGCATAGTTGATGAATGGGGAAAGACGTCCGATTTCGGAGTCTTAAAGTTTGCCGACGGAGGCGGGCTCGGTGAAATCGGAAATCCGGAATCCGACGAAGCTGTTGAAGAACCACGACGGTTCCAAGCATTGTCTGTTTTGGTTCCACCGGATTCAAAGATGATGTTTGGTTTCCGCCCCGAATCCAGTCTCCGCAACTTGTCATGGTTGACCGTAATTTGTTGTTGTTCAAGTTCTTTGAGAAGCAAGAATTGCTTTAGTTTTGTAGAATCCATATTCAAATGCTTTCTAAACACATCCTGTAAATGTATAAAAGTGATGAATTAATTCTTACAGGTGTCAATCATATTTCACTCTGAATATCAGATTAAGGCCGAGGGTTCACATTACCTTTGCATGTATCTTTTTTGAAGACGTTTCATTTGGACGGATTTATCCTCGACCATAAATAATGTAAGAAATGTGGTATAAAGACTTAATATTCACACAAAACACGCGAGTGTCATTCTAGTCCTGATCTTGATGTTTACGGTTCTGTAAGATGATAATGCTATAGGAATATCAATGATCAAACTTACTTTAATTTCCGTCCAGTCTTGTAGATTTCGTTTGTTTCATTATGATTCAACCAGATTAGCTACATATTTCCATCACCACTCCATTGCGTAACAAATTCAGTCCAGTTTCTTATCAAAATATAAATGAGACTTAAATTCCTTGGAACCTGTCTGAAAGCAACATAATTTGTTTATGTTAATAAGATTCAATTAAAAAAACAGGTTTTAGTGAGGAGTAGCTAGGTAGTGTACCTAGTAAGATATTTTAATCTAAGCTTGACTCCTCACTGATATGTGGTGAAACTAATTGAGTGGAATTTGAAATAGAGGAGGGAAATTACAAAATCTTGTCACAGAATAATTTTTTTTCCACTCATTAAAAGTTTATTCTTAATTTACTATCGGGGTCATAATAGAAAATTATCTCAAGGGTGCAAAATCTTTCACCTGTTCGAAGACATTAATAAAATTTACATATTTTTTTCTTACCTGTACCCAGGTTTCGTGCATGTCCATCGATTCAGCTGCTAATCGTAACACAAAACGTCCTTGTCATCTAGAAGATATGCAAAATCTTCATTAGCATTAATTTACATATGTTATATTTGGTTCATTTGGTAAACGCCTCGGTTCATGCACCATTTGTCAGTAAGTTTGAGAGGTAGGTTATGTAAGAATTTTATCCTTGGTTTCACCTCAACAGTCAGACCTTTGATACTTAATTCCAGTGTATGGGTTTTCCTATTGTTAAAAATTAGCCATCTCCCGTGTGGTCAAGGGACACTTAAATATCACCAGAATGACGCGTCTACCCGATCTGTCAGGAGTGCAACACTATAGCAGGGCGACACCCTTAAAAGTTTTATGTCTCCGTAATGACAGATTTACTATACCATTTACCTACAATAAAGAAACCGGTGAACCCGTTATACGATTCCTAATAAGAAATTTTTCTGAGAGTCGACAATTAGTGAGTTTTTGCTCCACTGATTAAAGAGAATTTTATCAATGCACTAAAACAAAAACAAACACAAATAAAAAGCTCCAATTTCTTACCATGACGGGAGATATTTATCCAAGCCACTTTACTTTGATTCGTATGCTGTCCCCCAATGATATAACAGATTTTGGAGATAACGGATAGTTTAGCGTTAATTCACTTGAGCCGATTAGTTAGTCTCTTAGTCTCTCTTACGTTGATCTTTGGATGGGACTTAATCATAGATATAAGTATATATAAGTATAGGATATTAATGCGAAAGATTATAAACCCTTGGCTTTTCTATGCTGTGCACGTGTTATGTAGAAAGAGCCTACCTAATTCATTGACAGGGATACAATGAGATCAATAAAATCACTGACCATTTTTCTGAACACCTGTACTAAAACTAATACACCTCATGACAAATAGATCAACAAACGCAAATAATAGAATGCAATAAATATTATTTTTCTTAATTTCAGAGGTCATTTATTACCCCATTAATTTTCTTAAAAAGGCAAAAATACAGCAAATTGAATGCTACGTAAGTATAACTATTGATCCCAAAGAATAATGTACAGGTGCACTAGACTTAAAACTTAACAAAATGTCGAAATTTCAGCTTTTTGGGGGAATTGCTCTGCGCAACAAGATGTGTATGTGAAACACTGATGCCCCCGATGGCAGCTTATGGCGAAGGTTAAATTTTATCAAATGAGAGTAAAACGAAGGTCAAGTCCAAGAGATCAAATATGTTGGTACCCAAAGAATTGTCTTGCCTCAAGGAATATAGCCGTTAAATATGAAAGCCCTAGCACCAACGGTTAAAAAATTATGGCAAAGGTTAAAGTTTTTCAACAGTAGTCAAATGTCAAAATCAAGTGGTCAAAATTAATGGTTCTTAAGGGAAGGCCTTGTCACAAGAAATACACATGTGAAATATAAAATCTCTAACCCCAACCATTCAAAAGTTAAGGAAAATGTTAAAGTTTTTCAAAAGTAGATCAAACTCCAAGGTCAAGGATAAAACCCGTTGGTACCCAAGGAAAGGTCTTGTTACAAGAAATACACCTGTGAAATATGAAAGCTCTAGTTCTAACCGTTCAAAAGTTATGGCCAAGGTTAATTTTTTTTTAAGTGGGTCAAACTCCAAGGTCAAAAAGTAAAAAATATTTATACCCAAGGAGAGGTCTTTTCACAAGAAATACACTTGTGAAGTATGAAAGCCCTAGAAACAACCTTTCAAAAGTTATGGTCAAGGTTAAAGTTCAGTAAAATTTTTGCGAACATCGCCCAAACTCCAAGGTGAAGAGGTCAAATAAGTTGGTAACCAAAGAATGATTTTGTCACAAGAGATACACATGTGAAATATGAAAGCCATAGCTCCAATCAATCAAAGGTTATGGACGAGGTTAATGTTATTGCGAACAAACAGACAGCTAGACAGACGGGCGGAAGGGCAAAAACTTTGATAAAATATTGTACAAAATTATTGAATGCAAAAAGAACTTGGGCGAAATAGGTGAGGGAAATGCCTATAGCATTAAGTGTACAAAATTCAATTTGTGAACTAAGCATTTAGAGCAAAGTTCTTATTATTGAAAAGTATGCAGTTATGAGAAATACTGGTAAAACTTTTCTATCGGCAAAAAATATAAATTATTGTAACGTTAAAAATAAAGAAAATGCGGTTTTCTTGGGGTATGAAATCCTGAGAATGATTTGTTTTTGTTTCGTTTGTTTGTTTGTTTTTGTCTTGTTTATTTTTTTTAAGAGACTGACAATTCTGTAATTTTTCGAATATTCGATGTTTTATGTATTTTTCTATTAGTGTTAATTGATTAGAAATATTATAATTATTTAACATAAAACACATATTATTTTTTGACCGATAGGATACAATCTACTATGGATCCTACATCTTATCAGGATCCCCCTTTTTTTAATTTTCTAATTCTTGATCTGCTTCTGTAATGTCTGAAAGTATGACATATTATCTCGGGAAAACACTACGGAGTGGAAAGCAAATACCATATGTTAACATCGATAGCCTCTATTTAATATGAGTCAAAGTATACTCAGGTATTTAACTGGACTCCTCAATCTTAATTAAACTTAACGTTTTTTGAATATGAAAACATTTGTAACACCCCCACCCCCTCCAAAAAAGTGTATAATCCCCTCAGATAGGGTTTCTACGGACCTGGGTATTGACTTTAAAGCTGATGATATATGATAACATGAATAAGGGAATCTAATCAGACAGCATGGTACAAACTACTAATGATATGTAAATATTTAATGCTAAGAAACAGAATGTTGCTATTATATAATAGCTCTCACCGCTCTAGAGTCGCGGAGTAAGGAGTTGATCCTTACGTCGCGGGTTCGAATCCTAGGACGTAGAGACCGGTCCTTCGGATGAGACCATATAAACCGAGGTCCCGTGTCGCAGTAGGTGCTGGCACGAAAAAGATTCCTCACTGCTCAATGGCCCTGAGTGCCGAGTATAGGTCAAAATTTGCATAATACATGTATATGCATATATTGCATAATTTTCATTTTATACTGTATGATTTTTTTTCATTTGTATTGTATAAATTCCATTTCCATTGTATTCTATATAATTTTTTCACTTGTATTGTATAATTTTCCATTTGTATTGTATAATTTTTCATTTGTATTATATATTTTTTCAGACAGAAAAAATACAACTGTATTTACAAATGGGAAATTATATACAACGCAAATGGAAAATTATACCATACATATGGAAAATTATATAATACGAATGGAAAATCATACACAACAATTTTCCATTTGTATTGTATAATTTTACAACACAAATAGAAAATTATACAATACAAATGGAAAATTATATACAATAAATGGAAAACTTTACAATACAAATGGAAAATTATACAATAAAATGAAAAATTATACAATACAAATAGAAAATTATGCAATTCAAATGAAAACAAGATGTGTTTGTGAAACACTGATGCCCCCCTATGGCAACTTATAGCAAAGGTTTAACTTTCTCTAATGCAAATCAAATATGTTGGTACCCAAAGTAAGGTCTTGTCTCGAAGAATATACCTGTGAAATATGAGAGCCCTAGCAGCAACCATTGAATAGATATGGAAAAGGTTAAAGTTTTTCAAAAGTAATTCAAACATCAAGGTCAAGGTCAAATGGTCAAAATTAATGGTGCCTAAGGAAAGGCCTTCTCACAAGAAATATACAGGAGAAATATGAAAGCTGATGCACCAATCGTTCAAAAGTTATGACCAAAGTTAAAGTGTTTCAAAAGTAGGTCAAACTCCAAGGTCAAGGTCAATGGATTACAATTGTTGGTATCCAAAGGAAGGTCTTGTCACAAGGAAAAAAAAAACATGTTAAATATGAAAGCCCTAGCAACAACTTTTCAAAAGTTGTGTCCAAGTTTAAAGTTTTCGAAAAATAGGTCAAAGTCCAAGGTCAAGGTCAAAGAGTCAAAATTAATGGTGTCTTAATAAAGGCCTTCTCACAAGAAATATACAGGTGAAATATGAAAAACTGAAGCACCAATGGTTCAAAAGTTATGACCAAGGTTTAAGTTTTTCAAAAGTAGGTCAAACTCCACATCTTGTGTAAATTCTTTTTTAACTTTAATTTGTGCATTTTTTTTTTACCAGTCAGCACCACAGGTACTTGTGGACAGGACCCCCCCCCCCCAATATTCAACCCAGGGGCTTGTTGGACATTTTTTCA